AAAAAAAAAAAAAAAGTGAGTGGAATAACGATGGCTCCAGAAGGGACCTATTCCTTAAGTTATATTACGACATGCACCAAAACCCCATGGTGAATGTAATCATTTTGGACGGCACACCTGTACTAATGTAAAATAATAATAATAAATTAAAGAATGTTACTCCTTGGGTTGAATAAAGACAGGAAAAAGGGAGATTCTAAGGCCACCTGCGAGTTGCTTCCGCCCCCTGCTGGTGAGAGAAGCGAAGGCAAGATAAAACGTTCCAGATCCGATGGGAAAAGACGCCGATTTGGGGAAGAGGGAAAGCAGGAACAGTAAGAAGACATGAGGTACAGAAGTTTGTTTGTTTGTTTGTTTGTTTGTTTTTTATAAAAAGAGGAGCGGGTCTCTCTAGAAAGGTAATTCTTAATTTGTTAGACTCTTCCCTCGTGTTACTAAAGAAAATCACATTTCATCTAGTAAGACTGCAGTAGAGGGATTTTTACCTTTAAGATTCAAAGGATTTTATATTTTATGATTTTAATAATTTTCTTGGGGCTTTTGGTTCCATACTCCTGGTTGTGTTGGGCCCCTTTCCCTATGTCCCATGTGACATTTCCCAATTTCTCCAGTTCATTTTACAATCTGGGCCCACGTCCTGCAGAAGAGAGCTGGGCCAGCTCAGCCGACACTGACTCCTACTGTTCATAGAGGGACACAACAACCTGTCCTCGGAGGCTAACATCCACAGGGAAAGAATCTCTTAAGACAATGTCATTACCTTTTTATGATGGAATCTTTTGGCTTGACTATTAAATCCTTTTTTCTCTGATTCTGTAATTATTGTTACTTGGGATTTGTAAGGAATGGAGGATTGTGTTGGATATGCAGCTGTAAAACCTAAACAAAAATAAAATAAAAATCAGTACAAAGTAATGACTTAACAAATGCCAGAAACAAAAATAAAAACAAAAACCAGGTGCATATTAATATATTAAAGTTTTATGTTGAATGGAGAAGAGAAACTTGTCTTTTGACAAGAGATAAACATGAAACCCTATTTTAAAGAAAGCATTCCCCATTAAAAAAAAAAAAATCAGTGCTCCCTCCGCAGCCCACTTTTTATTTTTATTCTTACTTTTATTTTTATTTAGTCTTTTCTTTTCTTTTCTTTTTTTTGCGGAACCGGGGATTGAACTCAGACCCTTGTGCTTGCCAGGGAAACACTTATTCCACTGAGCCATCTCCCCGGCCCCCCACTTTTTATTTTGAGACAGGGTGCCACTAATTCACTAGATTGCCTAGGTTGGGCTTGAATTTTCAGGCCTCCTGCCTCAGCCTCCAGAGTGCTGGAATTAGGAACCTGAGCCACCAGGCCCCACTGCCACCTTTTCTTTCTCTTCTGGAATTTCCTGGGGTTTTCCCTTCTCTAGTCTAGTGAGATGGGACCATTTAAGAGCCTCAAAGTGGACTGTCCCACAGCAAAGGAAGCATGGGACAGGAAGGACAGCAACCTGGAAGAGGAGTAGGGCCAGGGACAGAGCCAGCACCTCTACCTCTCCTAGGCCCAGAGTCAGACACTGGCCAAGCACCATACAGGTGGGGGAGAGGGGGGAGAGGGGTAGGAGATGGGGAAGGGGTGGGGTGGGAGGGGGGGTTGGGTGGGAGTAGGAGGGTCTTGGAGTGGGGTTGCCTCTCACTTTCCACAGAGCTGTGTAAGAAATAAGTGTTAAGGGCCAGGGAGATGGCTCAGTGGAATAAGTGCTTGCCTGGCAAACGCAAAGGCCTGAGTTCAATCTCCGGTTCCGCCAAAAAAAAAAAAGAAAGAAAGAAGCGTCTGCTTTGAGCAGATGTGGGGTTAAAAAGCAGAAGGGGACCATTTCCAGAAAATCAGATTTGCATTCTCTAAGACTGAACTGTGATGCTATAGGTGTAACTCCTCCCCTTCTCCCCACCTATGGGGAGAGGCTGTGGTTGCCAGAACTCAGGCAGTATCCGGGGAACCACAGCCTCCCTCCCCATGAGTGCAAGAGAGCTTGCGTGGAGGACAGCAGTTCCATTGCAGCCCTCCCCTTCCCTTCTACCCGAACTGCGAGCTCATGGGGAGGCCCGATGTGCGCCGCCGCCACCACCACCCCTGCCGTGGCCCCATCTGGAAGTTCTCCCAGCCCTCCCTCTCACCAGGGTCCCCTCTGTTAAACACAGGAAACCCCTAAATGGTCTCCTTGCCCCCCTCCCCATTTTTTACTATCTCAGGAAGCCTGTCCTGAGATTCCCAGAAAGCCTCATTCTGAATAATAAACCTCCTTGTCCCCTCTTGAGTGCACGCGTGGCTTTGCCAGTCCTGACACCCACGCCAAATTCGACTGGGGGTCATCATGACTTTGGGCTGTCTGTACAGAAAGCCAAATTGTCCTCACCTCAGCGTTCCAACCCTCAGAGAGAAACACACCCAGAGGACAAAGACAGCCAGGAGAAAGGGGGCTGTATAGGTGGGTGGCAGCTGGACATGGTTTGCACCTAAACTATCTTGAAGGCCTATTTCTTAGTCTCTGAATTTTGGGTAAAAAAAACTCCCAAAAGGAGCCCTCCGAGAGAGGCTCTTAGGAGTCAGTTTAACAGGTGAGGAAACTGGGGGAATGCAGGATTAAGTTATCCAAATCACTCCTTCACTTACAGTTACTGAAAGAGAGAAAGCTGGGGTCTGGACACAATTCGTGTCATGAGCCCAGGGCTCTCAGCTCTCTGCTGTGCTTTCTCTTCCTTGTACCACTCAGTTATCGATGGAGGGAATAAGGACAGGGATACTCGGCCTGGGCTGAGGACCAAGCATTCAAAGGCAGCTGAATATGTACCCAGGTGGCAAACGTGGGGCCAGTATACCACATGCCCATTCTTTCCCTCTTCGTCTGAGTAAATGGATGGCAAAACACAGCTGTAGCTGAATGGCTTTTGCTCTCAACGCCTACGGCTGCAGGCCAATGAAGAGGGTTTTCAGGGAGGCAAGGAGTGGGGCGTTAGAGAGAGGCGCAAGAAGGTGGTTTCCCAGGGAAAGGTCTCCCAGGGAAAGGATGGGCTTCCTGGCTGAGACTGTGAGCAGGGCTCTGGCTATGGGGCTGGCTGGGGTTGGAGCTGCCCCTCTTGATAAGAATAAATTTAAAAAATGGGATGTAGAAAAAACCCTAAGTAATTGAATCCCTACTTGCAGCCACAATGGGACTGGATTCGCCCTCTTAGCTGGGGGGTGGGGTGGGGTGGGTGGGCGAAGTATATGAAAGGAGATGTTGGCTATCAGGCAGGGATGGCAGAGACTGGAGGTCAAGGAGGCTGGCAGTGAGCGTTCCGCAGGGCCCAGGAGAGGCGCAGAGGCGTCTGGGGAAGCCACAGCCATCCTGGATTGAGGAAGTGGGCCTGGAATCCAGAAAAGCCGAGGCAGCTGGAGCGCGCAGAACAGAGTATGGAAGAGGAGGAGCTCTGCGCAGTTACCTGCTAGCGCTTTCCTGAGCGGATCAGCACGCTGGGGCGGACAGCACCACCCGGCCTGGGTGAGAACCACCTAAGAGACGGGGTGGGGGTGGGGACCCGCGCAGCTTCCGGGAATCAGAATGGACCAGCTTGCAACTCTCCTGACACCCTGCAGAGCGGCTTGGCCTCGGCAACAGCAGTTGCTCCTAGAGAAATCTGCCCTGGTCCTTAATAATAAAGCTGAAAGGCACAATCTGAAAAGATGGACCTGTTTCCACATAACTGAAGCTGCAGAGCAAACAAAGCACAAGACTATGTAGAGGACAAAAAATTCAAAATGTCTGTCATCCCCCCAAAATTCAATAGGTGTGTGGAGAAGAAAAGGTGTAATTCAAAATGAGTGTAAAACGATCAAAGCAAATTGTTTAAAAGAAGTCCTTTAAGGCAGAAGATAAATGAGAGGAGTTGGAAATCTGGGTCCACATAGAGGAATGAAGAACTTGGGAAATATTCAACAGTCATTTAAGTCAATATAAAATGTAAAATTGTAAGTATAAATAGGTCGATGCAAGAAGAAATATAAAATGTAAATACTCTGGGAGGCAGAGGCAGGAGTGCAAGTTCAAACTGACCTAGGCACTTGAGCAACTTAGTGAGACTCTGTCTCAAAATAAGAAAAAAGGCTGTGGCTGGGGTTCAATCTCCAGAGTGCCGTGCTAGCCCCACCTCCAGCGCTCACCGAGATGGAGCTTGAGACTGAGTGTGGTGGCATGCACCTGTAATCCCAGCTCTTGGGAGGCTGAAAACAGGAGGATCACTACGAATCTAATCTACATAGTGAGACCCTGTAGACCCTGTAGATCCTGTACCAAAACACACAAAAAAAAGGGGGGCCTAGGATGTAGCTGCCTGTCAAGGCTCTTGTTTCAATCCCCAGTGCTACAAAAAAAGTAAATAATTTTATTATTATTATTATTATTATTAATTTATTTTTGTATTTAGGACAGGGTCTCACTGTGTAGATTGGACTCAGTGATCCTCCTGTTTACAGCCTCCCAAGTGCTGGGATTACAGGTGCGTGCCACCACACCCAGTCTCAACTGCAGTCTCATAGTGCCCCGAGTGTGGGGCCAGCACAGCAGGCCCAGGGATCAAACTCGAAAAAAAGTAAATAATTTTTTAAATGATCGACTATTTAAAACAAAAAAATAATAATATATTATGAGGTTTATAATAGAAGTAAAATGGTGGCAGGAGCACCAAGGTCAGGAAAAGAAAAAGAAAAATATATTCCTTCAAAGTTCTACTACATGTGAAGTGTTATGACATCACTTGATGGTGGAGAGTGATAAGTTAAAATTGTGTACTATAAACTCTAAGGTAAGTATCAATAAACTTTTTCTATCAAGGTCCAGGTAAAAAATATTTTAGATTTTATAAGTTATGGGTATCTGTTGCAACTGTTCAACTTTGCCACTATAGAGTAAAAGCACCCATAGATGATACATAAACAGAGATGAATGTGCCTCAATAAAATTTTATTCATAAAAAATATAGTGGGTCAGATTTGGCCCAAAGATTTTCAACATTTTCTCTAAGACAACCACTTAGGCGAACACTGCCAAGAGTTTTTTCTAGTAAGCTAACAAAGAAGATAAAATAAAAGCATAAAACATACTCAAAATAAACTATAAAAAATAAAGAACAGATGAATCACATAGAAATGAAGTCACAATCAACTTAAATTTACATAGTAGTAATCACATTAAATGTAAGTAGTTCAGATATCCCAATTAAAAGACAGGGATTGACAAGCTGGATAAGAAAAAAAAAAAATCCAACACTATGCTGCCTATAAGAAACCTGCCCTAAAAATAAACCCAGAGGTAAGTAAATAAGACTTCATTGTGTAATGCAACACATACTAATAGCTTTTTAATTGTTAAAAAAAAGGATTTGTAGAACAAACTTGAGTTCTAAGAAATAAAGCAAGATCTCTTTCACACCTAAAATTGAGTACAGACCTTCTTCATTTAATGACTGAGTTCTAGTCTTTGCTCAATGAGGAATTGTACATAGTCCATACATCACAATATTCAGAACAAAGAAATGGTCAAAGGAAGCTCCAGCTTGATAACCACTTTTGCTTGCAGAAGTCTCACATGCAGCACACGATGTAGAACAGAAAATGAAACTACAGCGCTGGAAGGACAATCAGCAAAAGTTACAGTATTGCATAAGCAAGGTGTATTGTACAGAAAAAGAGAGATTGAGGCTCTATAAATAATATATACAGAGCTGTACCAGGAGGGACACTCAGGCTAACCTTTTAGCTTCAGTCTTGCATCTGAAACAGTCTTTAAGCAGGTATGTCATTAAACAAGAAATAGCTGTGCTACGATTCTTGCCAGATACATGGAAAGAAAAAGTCTGGT